TCTGTGGCGTGTGAGTACTGCTCTCCTGGTAACAGCAGGCTATCTGGGGTACAGCAGTTCCCTGGGTTGGGCTAGTCTGTGGGACCTTTTCCGGGGATATACTGGGTTGCCTAAGTTTATCCCCTTTGCTTCGTTCCTTGTTCCTTGTGAGGGTTTTTCCAGACAGTGACTCCAAGACTCTGGTGTCTTGGAGCACACAGTTTTGTCTGTAAGGAGTAGTTGGTACAAAGGAGGTCTCTGGGCTGGTGGCACGTGAGCCCTCCCTGTCTGAGGGAGCTGGGTTCCCAATAACTCTGTGCTCCCTGCTTGGGCCCAGATCCGTGATGGTTAGGCGTACTCACCTGTCTGCGGTCTGCGGTCTGCGGTCTGCAAGATTTTCCCCAGGCAAAGCATAGGTGACCCAAGCAGCACGGTTTCTTCCTTCCCTGTGAGGCCCTCTCTGGACAGGAATTCCCAGTCTCTGTTGCACTGGGGCACGCAGCTCGTCTGTACCGGTGAGCTAGGCCAGCAGCCGCTCAGGTGGCCCAAGCAGCCCTATTTCTTCCTTCCCTGTGGGGCCCTCTCCAGACAGGGTTTCCCAGTCTCTGTTGCACTGGGGCATGTAGCTTGTCTGTCCTGGTGAGCTGGGTGCGCAGCTGATCTCTGTGCAGTGGGAGCTCAGTTGTGATGGCGGCGGGTACCCGCGGTCAGCGAGACCTTCCAGGGAAAGACTGGGTGACCCGTGATCAGACTTGCAACTTTCTTTCCCCGTGGGGTTTTCTTGCAACTGGGACTCACAGTCTCTGGCACCCTTGTGCCCACCGATCAGCCTGGGAAAGTGATCGGGACAAGCAGGCTAGCGGCACCAGCCTGGAGACCCAATGCCCGAGTTACCCGGGATCTCTTCCGGGTTCTGGCTGGGCGGCCCGAGAGTGGACCAGACTGATTCCCAAGCCGTGGGAGCCTCCCCTCACCTGGGAAACACGATCTCTGTAGTTTTAGGACCCAGAGTTCAGTCTCCTGGTCGCTGCACGGAGAGTTCTGTCCTGCTTCTCAGACACAGTGCTCTCCCGGCACCGCCATCTTGACCCCCATGAGGATCTTTTTAAATTTTATTTATTTTTTAGATTAATTACAGTTTATTCACTTTGTATCCCAGCTGTAGCCCTCTCCCTCGTCCCTCCAAATCTTACCCTTCCTCCCTCTTCTTCTCCTATGCCTCTCCCCCAGTCCAATGATAGGGGAGCTCCTCCTCCCCTTCCTTCTGACCCTAGCCTATCAGGTCTCATCAGGACTGTCTGCATTGTCTTCCTCTGTGGCCTGGTAAGGCTGCTCCACCATCAGGGAGAGGTTATCAAAGAGGCAGCCCCTGAGTTCATGTCAGAGTCAGGCTCTGTTCCCATTACTAGGGAACCCTCTTGGTCATATGGGCTATAGCTTGTGCCCATACCCTCACCGATGGAGCAGTTGAGAGCAGAGAGGCTCATGCTCTGGTTAGGTGGTTAATTTAAGGATTCCAGTCTTTCCCTGCACCCCCAAACCAGAGGAATTCCTGCCTGCCAAGCATCTATTGGTTGAAACACAAAAGGGGATGCTGCATTTTGAATTGATTGGCTATAGGAAGGCGCCCAAACCATTAATGGTCTGGCTTCCATTGTTTGGCTGTCCTTGGGGAGAGGGGCAATCTGGGCCAGTTTCCTAGCAACTGTATGTCTAGTGTGCAGGAAAGTAATGCAGTAAGGCTGGTTCCTCCCCACAGGTGGCTGGACATGTCTCCACCTATCTGGCCTTTGCTCAGGCTTGTGCTTTAAACTTTAAAAAAATAACTCAAAAAACTAATTTTTAATTCTTTGGTCTCCCAGAGACACAGTAAGTATGAAACAAATGGATGCATAAGAATAATTCAAATGGTTTAGAGCTATAATCTAAAAATGGAGCAGAGAATAGCTTTAGATAATTGATTTCTGAGTTAGTTTTCCAAAAACCATATTCTACATTTTTTAAGGATAGCACTACCATATCCTGCATCGGTTTTATTCTAGCGGATCATCATGCTTTATAGGTAAGCTCGCAAGTTCTCTTTCCAAAGCCTGTCTTACTGAAGCAGTAAGCTCTAGGGAGGGTAACGTGCAAAGGCTTTGCTTTGTATTGGGGACAGGGAGCAGTGCTTCCTCACAGGGGAAGACTTTATTGCTCTGAGTTCCTGGAGGATTAAAATACTGGGGCTGCTTCTTTCTTTCTTTGTCTAAAGGTCAGTGTGCACTGCCAAAGCACATAGAAGTCCTTCTTGTTAAAAAGAACCCTGTATCGTGAATCATTCAAAATCCAGACAGACTGGTAGGAATTTTAGTCACATCTGAATAGGGTTTCAAAAAACTGGAGCTGAGAAACTAGGGTAGTCTTTGTTCTTTTTGTCTTTTTTTTCTTTACTTGAGACAATTAACAAGTGTCCATTTAATAACTAATGTATTCTCACAGTTGTCTTCAGATAATATACAGCCTAATTTAGAAGGCGAAGTTAATAGATAATAATAATAATATAGAAGACAAATTTAAGACAGTATATTAGGAAGTACAAAAGCACTGAAAATTACCAGAGTACCAAAGAAAAATTTTCAGCTGATGTGGGAGTTAGTCTTTTGGAATTGCTTTTTGATTTTTTGATTTCAAAGAGATTTTATTTCAATGTATGAGAGTGCACACGCATGAGCATCTGTCTACAGAGATCAAAAGAGGGCATCAGATTTCTTGGAGCTGGAGACACAGGTTTTATGAAGCACCTGATGTGGGTTTTGGAAACAGAACCTAGGTCCTCCACAAGAGCAACAGGTGCCCTTAATCACTGAGTCATCTCTCCTGACCGTGGATTTTGTTGCTGTTGTTGTTTTGAAACTGGGTTTTTCTGTGTGGTGCTGGCTGTCCTGGAACTCACTCTGTAGACCAGGCTGTTTTCCAACTCAGAGGTCCACCTGCCTCTGCCTCCTGAGTGCTGATTGAAAGGCGTGTGCCACCACCGCCATGGAATTGTTAAGGAGAAGGAAAGAATGACATCTCCACTGAGTTGGGGGAATGCCATGAGAGAGGCCTGGAGAGAGGGATGAGCCTGTATGTGAGGCTGGTAAAGAGACCAACCCCAACATATTGGAGTACTATGATAGACAAAACTGGCAACGTAAGGTAGGATCAGATTATGAAGACTTCTTTGAAAATAAGCAGAGACATTTCAAACAAGTTATATAAGAAGTTGAATCTCTCATAAGTTTTTGAGTAAGGTGTGACATGAAAAAGTTGTACTTAGGGGATATTAGTTGGTGACAGGACACATAATAGTACTATCATCATGAGAGACCAAAGAATTAAAAAGTAGTTTTGAGGGTTATTGGTTTAAAATTTAAAGAAGAAGCCTGAGCAAAGGCCAGACAGGTGGAAACATGTCCAGGCACCTGTGGGGAGGAGCCAGCCTGAGATTACAGGCATTAGCCACTACGTCTAGCTGTTTTATTTCATGTCTTTATTCCTGTTTTGTTTGTTTTATGTGTGCATGTGTGTATGCAATGGCTCTTGTGTGGAGGGCAGAGGACAATTTGCAGAAGTTAAGCCTGTCCCTCTTATCATGTGAGTAGCAGGGGTCAAACTCAGGTCATCAGCCTTGGCAGCAAGTGTTTTTACCTGGTAAGCCACCTCACTGACCCTGTTTGACATCTGAGACTGGGTCTCATGTAGTGGAAACTGTTCTCACACTTGACATATAGTGAAGGCTGGCTTTGGTTGAACTCCTGACTTTCCTGCCTCTGTCTCCCAAGTACTGAAATTATAGAAGTGTCCCACTATGCCCGGCTTTTTTGGGTTTTGTTGTTATTTTATTTTGTATTTTTGAAACAAAGTCTCACTCTATACCCGGGCTATTGTGGAAACATGCCAGCCTCACCTCCAACTCATGGTCCTCCTGCCTTTGCCACATGCGTGCTATTAGAAAGGACAAATTGGAAAAGGCAAATCACAAGACTGTCATCAGTTTCATATAAAACCAGATAATTATTACCTTCTAGAAGATATTATGTGTATTCATATACATACATGCATTCACACACACAGGAACATTATGAGTGATACCATCTATGAGATGATTATCGTAATGTTAATCCCAGTGATGTGAGAACGATCACTGACCCAAATCATCGAGGCCAAATTAGTTAAAGCAAGCACTAATGAAAACAAGTTTTTTCCTTCCTGTGCATGGGTTGCCTCCCCTGAGGTGGGGTTCAAGAGGTCAGCCTTGGACATGGTAAGGTAAGAATTTTTATCAGGGATAGGGGTTTCCAAATGGGGAGGGGGGTGGCAGGCAAATATGCGGGGTTACAGAATCAGTGTAACCAGGAAGTCTTAACAACTTTTGAAACAAGGTTGCGAGATGGTCATAACAACTTAGTAAAACAAAGACATGGTTGCCATTTCCTGTAACAGGCAGTGCAGAACCATTTGTAGTTAAGCTTACAGGTAGGGCATAGCCCAATCCTTGAGAAACAGAGATTTAATCATAAACAGGTAGTAACCTAGTTTGTTTTTACTGTATGATAGATTTCAAGCCTGAGACAGAGTCAGGCTGGTTCATAAATGTCATAAACATTTGATAAATAGTTGATGTTGTTAGGTGAATCTCTGAGAAGTTGAGAACAGCCTGGTCTACAAAGCAAGTCCAGCACAGCCAAGGACTCTGCTACACAGAGAAATCCTGTCTCAAAAAAAAACAAAAAAGAAAAAAAAATAGTTGATGTTGTTTTGGTTAATAGTGCTGGGTACTTGTGATAAACGAGATGCCTTTCAAGATCTTAATCTTTACCTTTTGCCCATTCAGTGGTGATGTTGGTTCTCTCATTAATCACTGAAGCACAGGGTGATAGATAAGGAATGCCTCATTTGTGGCATTTCCAGTGCAACGTTGGTGTGAAATAATTGAGCTATTTCCCCTTAGCTCCATGAAAAAATGACAGACCTTATTTTTAAAATCTTTCCTTTTAAAGATGAAGGTGGAACCAGCTTGGATTCAAGTGTCCTGGCCGCACTGCGAAAAATGCAGGATGGCTATTTTGGTGGGGCAAGGTAAGTGACTTATACCCTGAACCAGGGAGATGTAGCACAGCTAACTGTCAGTGATGCTTGAGTCCTCCTTTTAATTTCAGAAAGTTAAATTTAGAGTCAAATAGATGCTTAAACAGCACACAGGTATAAGAATTCACTGCAGTCTTTCTCAGGAGGCGCGTGACATTGGCTCATCATTATGAATGATGGATGTAATTTTGGATTTAGTGTTGTTTGCAAGTGTATTCAAATCTTTGTTGTTGAGTATTTACTTATTCTAAATGGCTTTTCTATGAACCATATAGCTCCCCAATAATTCAGATGGAGACCTACTGATTTATTTAAACACTTTAGCACAATAACTGGGCAGGTATGATATAAAAAAGTTTTCTTAGCTATTCTGGCTACCTCCCAGCGGCACTCCTCAAGATACTTGTGAATTAATAGGTTCTGTCTGGGCTGAATCTGCTTCATCAGGCCATGTCTTCTCTCTCCATCTTCTTCTTCTCTCCCTCTCCCTCTCCCAGACTCATAGGACCTGCCTTAGACCCCAAGCCCAGGAATGGAAGTTCCACCTACCTCTATTCTGCCTAGTAATTGGCTATCAGCAACTTTGCTCCCCAGCAAAGTTTATAAAACATCATTTGGTGTACTTGAGAATGCACCTGTCTGGACTGCAACCGGATCTCAGGGGCCAGTATTGAGCATTTGTAAACGTAGTACATCAGACCAAGTCCCAGCACCTTTTCTCAAAAGTCTTTGAGCAAATGGTACCGGCTTCCATTGACTGGAGGGACTATTACTTAGTTGTAAAATACCCATCTAAAATGTTTTTGTCTGTATACATACATGTAAAGCAAGGCCTATTTTGACAGTGTTTCTATCACTCTGTGTACATCTATAATGGAACTTCTTATATATAAATATTATTTCATTTTGTGGTTTATTATTAATATATTCTTTGAATTCTTATTTTATTCAATATTTCATGGCCCGTTCCTATCATTACTTCTTTCATTTTTCAAATTATCCAAGGTCTGGCCATTGGTAGCCACCTTAAATGGGCTTCTTTAGGAGGCAGCCTGGTCTACAGAGTGAGGTCCAGGATAGCCAGGGCTCCACAGAGAAACCCTGTCTCAGAAAACAGAAAAACAAAAAAAGAAAGTTAGTACTACTAACTTCATTTGGAGTTCTGTGATTGGCTTATTACATAGAGAATGGTATGGTCCAACTTAATTTATTACAGTGCATAAAAATTTCGAATATTCTCTCTTATGTCCAAAATGGTCTTTTGATGGTGCTTTTGTTTAATGTTTTGAGATTTCTTTTTTATGTTTATTCTGTGTGTATGGGAGTTTTGTCTGCATGTGTGTCTGTGCACTGAGTATATGCCTGATGCCTATAGAGGACAGAAAACAGTATCAGATCCCTTGAGACTGGAGTGACAGATAATTCTGAGCCACCATGAAGATCCTGGTAATTGAGCTCAGGTTCTCCGGAAGATCAGTTCATTCTCTTCACCACTTAGCCGTCTCTCCAGCCCCTGATGGTACTTTTAAAACTGGTATGATAGATTTGTGTAACTTATCTTCATTCTCCATCTACTTCTGTAATAGATAATGTGGATTTTTTTTACCAGACATTCAACATAGTGCCCAACAATGGAAGAGACTAGAACTAATCTGTTAGGGGACTGTGAACTCTAATTAGTGGCCTTGCTTTAAAAATCTTTTTCTTAGCGTTCATAAAATGTTGCTAAGCATTCTTTTATTGACAATTGTGGCTTATTTGTACAGGTGTTTAATTTTTGGTGTTGGGAAGAGATCCTTGTTCATGCTAGGCAGGAATTTTACTAATTGAGCTACACTTCTAAAATTGTGTTTTTTTTTTTTTAAAGATATTCCCTGATTTTCTGTTTTCTATGTACCTTATAATTGTTAGGATCCAAACAGGTAAATTGTCGGAGTTTTTGACAACATCTTGCTGCACACACCTAAGCTTCATGGACCCTGGACCTGAGGGTAAGCTGTACAGTGAAGATTATGATGAAGACTATGATGATGAGCTGGAATCTGACAACTGGATGAATAGCTATGATGCAACAAGTAATGGTAAGGAGGCCGTAAACAGCCCTGGCTGGCTGGACACAAATACAATGATTGTTTAGCTTCATTGTTAAAAAAACACAATCCGGCTTCCAGCAATCTCGTACTGTACCACCCTCACTCCTCTTTAATAAATCTAGGTTTCTGTTTCGTTAGGATTCACTTTTTTCCCTCTACTCCTCTTCAGTTTCTGGTCTAATTAATACCTCTATGGTGACTGATTGTTGGGTTAGCCTATGCCTTTCTATTAGGATTTCTTCCTTGATCATTTGAAGTAGCTGGTGATTTGAAATGGAAAGAAACAATGAGTAAAAAATATTTCACCAATAATGTAGTTGAAAATAATACAAACATGCATATATAATACTACTTTTGGCATTAAAAAGAATTAAATATGAAATTTGGTAAGAATTATGTTTAAAGCATCACATAATTCAAGGGATTATATTTTATGTATCATTAGAGGCATAGAGCAGTATTTCTGGCGAGGCCTGTATAGTGTGAAAAAGCATATTCATAATGCCTGTTGCTTCTATGTGACAAACTAGACAAATAATGTCTATAATAAATGCTAAGGCTATAAACATGATGCCATTAGAAAGCCCAGGAGCCAGTCATACTGACTGCTGGGGTAGGTTTTGAAATAACTAAAATGTTCGTTTTTGTTTCTTCCTCTTCCCCAACTAACCTTGCAGCTCTCTGTGGTGATGAAGTTGCTTGTTATTTAGGCCACCTTTTGGCACGCACTGTTCCCCATGCTAAACTCTCTACTACCTCCCAGAAGGGAGGGCTAGATCGGTTCTGAGCTGCTGTGCAAACAACTTGCGACTTAATGTCCTTGGTGACCAAGGCCAAGGAGCTGCATGTACAGAGTGAGTAATGCCATTACTCCCTAGTGCCAGACACAAGGTGGCATGAAACCCACGATGGGGGCAGGACATTGATTACACCATGAGCAGGAGCTTGGTTTTGTTCACTGCTTTGGTCCCTGTGTCTTGGGCAGCACCTGGAATTTAGCAGGCACTCAAATCCATGTGAAATCAATGACGTATATATATAGTCTTGATATGGATATTGGCATTAGTCGGGTACAACCAGGAAAACAGCAAGACACAGGAAAAAAATAGCATATTCAATTTTAATACAGAAGTCAAATGTGGAGGAAGAACTTTCTCACTTTGAAAAATTACTTCTCTGAGGGTAATTTTGTTGTTTAATGAGAAAGCATGATCATTAGAATAGTACAAAACAGGAGAGACAGAAACAGAGACTGACTCTGTTCTTAAGCTACGACTAGATCTCCCTTCCTGCCCGCTGTAGCTGTGCACCCGGTTGTTATCTCGAATATAATAGTCTTTGTATACAGCATCGCCACAGCCCTCTCTCTTACCAGCACCTTCTTTAGTAATGTTTTCAGTGGAGGACATTTTCTGTACGTTTGAATAGTAGCCATGGTTCCTAAGACTGCTCATTATTTCTAAGGTCCCTACATGTGGAGGGAGAGAAAGGCTCCTTGGTCACACCTGGACGAATTGAATATTACATTATACAGGGGAGGAGAATGATTGAGACGCATGCTCTTGCTACCTAAATCCTCATTGACCATTACTAACCAGATACTAAATGTGAGCACTAGGGAACTGTTTAAAATTGAGAACAGGGAAAAGCTTAGTATACCCTTTGGTTATGCTCCTTATAGAAAGGGTTTATGCAAGGACATGAACTTTAGTAAGTTTATTAAGTCACATTTATCACTTGTGAATCAGGAAACCAGAATTTAATTCCAAGAACTGTAGTTTACTTGCTTGACCACTTATATGAGCCCTGTATAAAATGGGTAAAATAGGCTGGAGAGATGGCTCCGCCATCAAAGGCTAGGCTCACAACCAAAGATAAAATGGTGAAAATTATAAGCTGTTCTCTCTTTAGAGGTTATGGTAAGTATTTCAGCTATGTAAATGAAACATCTTAAGACCTTCTCAAAGTTGATCCGCTCCCACATGTTTTTTGGTTCTCTAAATAGGATCATCCAGCTCCAGTCTCTAGAAATCAAATATTCACCCCAGAAAACCCAGGAAAAGTAAGATATAACTGAGTTCATTCTCTTATGTGTTTTGTTATATGATAATATCGTGATAGCATCATTGTCATGGCGATAATGTTAGTAAATATACATCATATGTCTGGTTGAGGGTGCAGTTACCGAAAACCCTTTCAAAAATAAAAAAAAAAAAAATGATTACTGAGCTATTATGGGTCACATCCGAGCAGAGGTTCTAGATTTTATCCTCTCATGGTCTTTGGTTGAGTGTCCATCTCAGAAAAGACCCTGTGCCCAGATATGTTTTGTCCTTGTGGAGTTCCTATCCTTTCCACATCAAACTGGTTTCCCTTAGTGAGGGGAACAAGGACTATTTCTGACAGGAACTCAATGACTGGCTCTTTGACCTCCCCACCTCCCAAGGGAGGAGCAGTACTGTTAGGCCACAGAGGAGGACTTTGCAGCCAGTCCTGAAAATACCTGACAAAACGGAGTCATATGAAAGGGGAGGAGGTCCTCCCCTATCAGTGGACTTGGAAAGGGGCAGGGAGGAGATGAGGGAGGGAAGGTGGGATTGGGGAGGGAATGAGGGATACAGCTGGGATACAGAACTAACAAAATGTAACTAATAAGAAAAATAAAATAAAAAATATAAAAAATATAAAAATGTTCATTGATTAATTGGATTTGTTGTCTTGAGACAGCCTTTCTCTGTGTAACAGCCCTAGCTGTCCTGGAACTCACTCTGTAGAGTAAGCTGGCCTCTAACTCGCAGAGATCCACCTGCCTGTGACCCCCGTCACCTGGCAATTAATCGGATATTTTTCAAATTATCAAATATCCACATTTCTTTTACTGGTATCAGTGAAGGAAAATGTCATCACTTTTGTTCTAAAAACTGACCCATGTGTCACCTTATTGCTGAGGTCAACCGTGTATCTTATTACTTTCCTGCTTATGTTAACTTTTCCCGTGAATGCCAACTTCTTGCAGATGTACACATGTATCTCCCTACGAAGTTATTTCAGCTTTCTCGGCCTTCGCTCAGCTTGCTTGGCTCACCTCAATCTCCACAAGATAACCAGGTGACTGCGCACATGTTTCTGTAGGCTCTGTGTAAAAATCTGCCATCTTTAAGGGAAGTGTTCAGACTAGCCAAAATGGTTTCTAGTGTTAAACAAAACACTATCGAATGAGATGCATGTCTCTTTAATTTACTCTTCAAGCAGGCAAGAGCTTTGGTGTTAGACTTTGAGAAAACTGCTTTGCTCTGTCATAGGGCTTGGTGGCTTTACCGATTTGGCTTTGATTTTCATCAACACGTTGGAAAAAAATTGAGGGGGAGTACCAGGTGACCCAGACTGGACTCCAACTTACTACGTTGATGAGGATGGCCTGGTATTCAGAGGCCTCAGCCTCTAAAATGCTGGGGTTACAGGTGTGCACTACCACATCTGGGAACATTTAGGAAATTCTCATGGAAAAGGTTTAGAGGTGGAAAGACAACTCATTCTAGAGTACCTAGTTAAGCACTGTTAACTAACCCCCCCTGCTTTTTTTTATCATTGCTTACTTCAAAGGTTCCTTCTGTTCGTGTAGAAATACATCTTCCTAGAGACCAGTCTGGGGAAGTGGACTTCCAGTCACTGGTTTCCAAGTTGAAGGAGACCTCAAGCTTACAGGAACAAGCTGATATACTCTGCGTGCTCTATACAATGAAGTAAGTGGTGGATATGACTGGCAGACTTTAAGGTACTTATTGTGAGGAAGTACAGCATGTTAGTCACGTTTATGTGTTATAACAAATACCTGGGGTTATCAACTGGTTAAGAGAAAAGATTTCTTTTAAAGCTTAAACAATTCCATTTTTTAGTATTTCTATTTTAAAATTAATTTATTATGTATATGAGTGTTTTGCTTGCATATATGTCTATGTACTCTGAAGCCAGAAGAAGGTGTCAAATCTCTTGGAATTGAAATTACAAATGGTCATGAGCCCCTATGTTTGGTGCTGAAAATTAAACCCCAGTCTTCTGGAAGAGCAGCCAAATGTTTTAACTTCTATGCAAACTCTCTAGTTTTATTAGTATTTAATAGAAAAGTATATTGATTTATAATTTGTCTCATTTTACTGGTGTTTCTTCTACTTCAAACTTATTTTTAACAGTTCAAAAAACTATTTTGTTTTTGGTAAGGAGAATATAACAAAAAATGTAACACTTTATATTATTTATTTACTAATCAGATTCCTACTCATGTTTAATAGAGTTTGTACTATGTTACACAGCCAGATCTTCTGAATTATCTATTATTCAACGGGAAAGGGCATAAAAGTCTCTAAATAATAATCTGAACCTTATTGTTGATTATTTTATATTTTAATTCTTTATTAATTACACTTTATTCACTTTGTATCCCCCCTGAGGTTCACTCCCTCCTCCCCTCCCATGTCCACTGTGGTTCCCTCCCTTCCTCCACCCTCTGCATGCATGCCCCTCTCCAAGTCCACTGATAGGGGAGGTCTTCTTTTCCTTCCTTTTGATCCTAGTCAATTAGGTCTTATAGGGAGTGGCTGCATTGTCTTCTTTTGTGGTCTGGTAAAGCTGCTCCCCTTTCAGGGGGAGGTAATTAAAGAGCAGGCCAATCAGTTCATGTCAGAGACAGTCCCTGTTCCTATTATAGTGGAACCCACTTGGATATTGAACTGCCATGGGCTACATCTGTGCAGGAGTCTTAGGTTATCTCTATGCATAGTCCTTGGTTGGAGTATCAGTCTCAGAAAAGACCCCTGTGCTCAGATTTTTTTGGTTCTGTTGCTGTCCTTGTGGAGTTTCTGTCCTCTCCAGATCTTACTGTTTCCCACTTCTTTCCTAAGATTCCCTGCACTCTGCCCAAAGGTTGCCCATAAGTCTCAGCATCTGCTTTGATAGTCTGCAAATCAGACCCTTTCAGAGGTCCTCTGTGTCAGGCTCCTGACTTGTTCCCTCTTTTCTCCTTCTTCTGATGTCCATCCTCTTTGCCTTTCTGGATAGGAATTGAGCATTTAAGCAAGAGTCCTCCCTCTCAATTAATTTCTTTAGGTGTACAGATTTTAGTAGGTTTATATAAAATTGCTCTTTTTCTTATGGGAAAAAAAACAACAAACTGACTTTATTTTGGCTCACAGTTTGGGGGTTTCATTCCATGATTGGTTCCATGATTGCTTTGGGATCTATTATGAGGTTCCTGACCATGGTGATACCTTATAACTAGCTTACAAGAGACAGAGAAAGTATAGAACATAGAATATAGAGACAGAGAAAGTATAGATCCTAGAATATATAGTGTGTCCTAGTATCTCCTGCAAGGACCCACCTTAGTAACATAAATTCCTGCAACTCGGGCCTACCTTGTAAAGCTTTCCCCCAGCTCCCAGTTATTCTATAGATAGAGGACAAGCCTTTAACATTTGAAGCATAGTTTAGATCTGTGTATCTGTGTATGTATGTATGTATGTATGTATGTATGTATGTATGTATCTATGTATCTATCCTAGATCTAAACTATGGCCCACAATAAATGGAGCACAACATTGGAGCTTCATGTACCTGCTTACTACAGTTTAGCAACATACTCATTGTGTGACTTGAAAGCCTACAATTGCCTACATTCACAAAATTAATATTATTCCTACCTCACAAAATTATTATAAATATCTCTAAAGTCGGGGCTAAAGAGAGGGCTCAGTGGTTAAGAGGACTAGATCCTCTTCTAGAGGAACTGGGTTCTATTACCAGTACCCGCATGATGGCGTGCAACCTGCTGTAACCGTACTCCTAGGGGATCTAACACCTTCTTGTGGTCTCCGTGGGTACCAGGCACAGACATGGCCCATAGATATACATGCAAGCAAAACATCCATACGCATAAAATAAAAATAAACCAGTGAAATTACGTGGTGT